TCCGGGGCAGGCGGGAATCGAACTCATGCAGAAGTGGCTTTAGCTTCTTAGTGCTGTGCTTTAACCCGCTGCACCACCAGGGAGGGCCAATTTTCCCCTTATTTTTTAATTAGTATTATGTCAGTAGTATGGTAGTTCCTTCTCTCTGTTCTTATTACATCACATCAAAAATACCACCTTAGGGTCCTCTCTGATGGCACAATGGGTTAAAGTGTGGCACTAGGGAGCTAGCTGCAACCATTTCAGAATGGGTTTGATCTAAGACCAGGATGGTGACCCAAAAGGCACAGCAGACCTTTTCTGTCTTGCCTTTTGCTCCTCTCAGTAGTGTACTTTGTCAATCTGCCTGTTCTGCTCCCCAAACTGTCTCTGATGAATACTCTCACCGCCCCTTTATCTTTGGCGTGTACCTCAGTTCTGTGCCTAAGTAAATAATTTTTTAAAACAATGCCACCTTATAACACCTCTAAATAAGAAGTTTGAATTCAGTGCCCACCACACTCCTCTTTTTGACCTTTTTTTTTTAATATTCAATTCAATATTTTTCTGGTATAAAATCCTGAAAGCTTCTCTTTTCCCTACATATCAGTTTCAGATAAGTTCCAGTGTGCATCTATATACCCAGTTGTGAACTTAGAAAAATAATGAACAAATTATGACATTCAGGCAATTTTCCCCACAACCCTGTATTTTTGAAAATGTTTTACAATAGAATGTCCATATTCATCTCACTCTAGCTTTCATATAAACACAAGGCAGTATCTCATCTCAATATTGTGTTCCCCAGTTTATAGATGTGAATGGGACATTTTTAACTCCTGTTCCTTAGCCAACCCCTATGATGCACACTGGCGAAATACAATTTTCAGGGGTGTGTAGATTGAGGAAGTTAATTCTGTTGCCTTAATTATCACAATGCCTATAAATCAAAGTAATTTAAAGAGTGCCAGCCTTCCAGTCGTGCCACCACTGAGTTCCCAGATTAGTGGTACTGCAAGTACAGCACAAATAATGTTGCAGACATTAGAAATAGACTGCTGCTTTTGCCTAGCAGATTCATAATTCTCAGATGTCTCCTTTTAATTTCCTGTTCATTTCAGATCGACATTTTCCCCCTTAACAATATTCTTCCTCATCATATTTTCCACATCTTTTTCGGTAACTTGACCCTTCTGTTTTCCTTATAATGATGAGGTTAACAATGTTCTCATCTCACCCTTTAACTGTATTGGTGATCAGTGATTTTACTACGTGATTTATTTAGCTTTTTTTTGGGGGGTCCTGAAACAGAATTGATTCAGTTTGGGTAAAAAAGATTTGCTTCAAAATGGGTCTTGTTACTTTAATCTGAGAGCACTTTTCTTATGTGCTATTTCATTTTCTGGTTAGTGCTAATCAAACTTATTTTGTGTTCAGAGGGACTTTCTTAACCCTTGCATATGAGGTGTGAGCTGTGATAGCTGTGATACTCTGGTTCTCATTCTTTATTTTTAGTTTTTTTTTTTCTCTTGTTATTCCCTCTTCTTCATATTCTCCCCACTTTCTTCGCTCTGTAATAAATAGATTACCCAGGTCTGTGCTACCCAGAAAGTATTCATCACTTAGTAATTTAAGAAAGTCTCTCTCTCTCTCTCTCTCTCTCTCTCTCTCTCTCTCTCTCTATATATATATATATATATATATATATATATATATATATATATATATATATATATTCTTTCCATGACACTTGTATTAGGATTACATTAATTTCCTTATGTGGAAAATCTTCATGTTGGTAATCAGTAAAGTACTTCCCCTATCTCCCCATTTCTTTGTTTTACTTTTTCATGTGCTTGTAGACTCACATTGTTGTGACTGGGAATTTGTACAGTGTCTTGCCATTTAGAAACACATGGTAGTACATGTCTAGTAAATAAGCTTTGGGAAATCACTTACACTTACTTTAACATTTGCAATCCCCATAACCTTTCAGGTTGACAAGAATATGTGGCTTACCTCATTTTACAGATGTGGAAACAGAGTCAGAATTAAGTGAATTATGTTGTTGGGTCATATAACAAGTAAAGAGCAGAGTGGCTGCAATTCTGTCGTGATATCAAATCTAGTCTTTGGATGGTCCATCAATAGATTAATAGATTACATTGGCTATAACATGATCTGTCAAGTTGAATTATAAAGAAACATTTTGAGAATCTTGCTTCATATCAGAGTAAAATAATTCATTTCTTCAATTGAAAGCAACATTTGAATAATAGTATTACAAGTTAAAATAAGATCATTGACCAGTATTAATTTTTTACCCTAGCTCCACTGCAGGAAACCTTGAAATTCAAAATTATCATCTTGGCTTTTTTTAGTTTTCCATTTCACACTCAAGCATGTTAACATTCATTCTTTGGAATCAGTCTGCATCGTGTACATGATAGATATCTATGGAGTAGGAGTCTTCAAAATACCATTTTATGGGTAATCTCTTGTAGACCATTAACTGGTATTGGATATTAGAATTAAAGCATAGCGATAGAGTTGAGAGTGTTTTTTTTTTGTTTTTTTTTTTTTTTTTAAGATTGATTTATTTATGCATTACAGAACTGAGAAACAGGCAAGAGATGCAGGGGCTGTGAGAGGATTCACCAGAGACAGAAGTTGGTGGGGGAGCAGAACAGGCCAACTGACAAGTACACTGCTGAGGGGAACAGCAGGCAGGTCAGGAGAGGTCTGCCTCGCCATGTGGATCACCTCCGGGGCGGGGATCGAACTCATGTGGAAGTGGTTTTAGCTTGTTAGTAATGTGCTTTAACCCGCTGTGCCACCAGGGAGAGACCTCAGAGTTCATTTTAAAGTGTTTGGGGAACATTCCTGATTCATGGCCAGGTTTATTATTTTTTAAATAGATCCTATAGAACACTGATCAAAATACTAGTACATATCCTATTATTAAACTAGATGAATCCTTGGTATAGCATTTAACTATTTATAGTTAGTTACTGCTTATTCACTTTATTTTTTAACTCTTTATTATCAAACTGCATATCAATATTGAGGACAACTAAAAGGTTGTACATTAAACTCCAATATCTGCACATATTAAAAAATGAGATACATTAGATATTGG